CCGAAACTCTCAAACTCGACATCAAATGCATTCACGTGTTTGAGGACATCAAAGGCCATAACATACTATTCATCACCCGGGATGACCAGGTGTACGGCCTGGGACTCAACTACTGGGGCTCACTGGGATTGGGCCACAACATACCCGTGGAATCGCCAGAATCTATACCGGAATTGAATCACCAGAATATCCGTGAATTCATATGTGGCACCACCTTTGTGTTAGCCCTCACCGGTGATAGCCAGGTGCTCGCGTGGGGGCACAACGACTGCGGTCAGTTAGCCCGGGAGCCGGCACGTGGAGGGACGACCGCATACTTAAAACCCGAGAGAATCGCGTTTTTCACGAATAATAAATTCATTACACAATTGAGTTGTAGTTATAATCACGCGCTGGCGCTCACATCAGACGGGGATGTCTACGGGTGGGGTAATAATAGGAGGGGACAGGTAGGCTGCGGCGATGTGGACGACTTGGAGTACATCGCGACACCGATTAGAGTGAAGTTCACCAATAATTACAAGATTAAGATTAAAGCCATCTATTGCTCCGGTATTCACTCGTCGTTCGCCCTGACAGTGGACGGGTATGTGTTTAGTTGGGGTAACAATAACTGCCACCACTTGGGACACGACATACCCGAGTGCGTACTGAAACCGCAGATTATTACCAATATATTTAACATTCAGACGGTGTGTCCGTATGGGCACCGGACCTACTTTCTCACGAACGAGGGTTTGGTATACTTTTGCGGTTTGCATACAAACCGACAAAATGTGGATTTAATACAAAAGACGCCCAAACTGTCGGACATTAAACACAATTTCCGGGACTTATGGCAAATACAGTCCTACCATAAGGACATGCCGTTCATAACGGCCTTAAAGAAACACAATTTGAATAATAATAAAACAAATATTGTTTATATGATTGTCGAGTCGAACCAAACCATTGAAACAAAATACGAGAGTTTTTTGCATTTTTATTCAAATGAGTTTCAATTGACGGATAAAACTATTCATTTGAAAGAATGGCCAGAATTTGATGTCAAACACGAGACAAAAGCTATTGAAGTCACACCAAAACCTGTGATAAAGACGTCAGAAGTCATACAAAATAATAAGATAGAGGTTACAGAAGTCATACCAAAACCTAAGACAGAGGTAACAGAAGTCATACCAAAACCTATGCCTCGGCAGCGAAACCCTGTTAAGACACAACCAATTATTGGTAAGTTAAATATAGCTCTCTCTCTCTCTCTCTCTCTCTCTCTCCAGTATTTTTCTTATAACTATTTTATTTTATTGTTTTGATAGAGAAAAGGATATCAAATGAAGATATGAATCATTCAAGTGATAGCTATTATAACAACACGTTTGAAGAGTTAAGTGTCGTAGGGTCGGGTGGTTTTGGGACAGTATATAAAGTGAAGCACCGGTTTAATCAACGGTTATATGCCATTAAACTCATTGTCTTAAAAGGTATGTGTATTACAAACTTAACCACAATTTATAAAGTTTATAAAGAAGTGTAAAAAATATTTTCACAGAATCTATGGCTGAACTCAACGACCGATTACTGAATGAAACAAAAAACGAGTTAAAACTGCGCTCAGAATATGTCATACAATACACCACTTCATGGTTGGAGGACAACAACCGGCTATACATCCAAATGGAGTACTGTTCCCATAGTTTGCATGACATACTCGCAGCTAAAGCACCGGTATTTGGCCGCCAGTCACCCACCAAACCCATGCAATCGCATGAGTACTACGTGTCCAGTGAACTGTTTCGTGAGCTCCTGGAGTGCGTCCAGTATTTGCACGCCGTATGGCCTCAAGTCATACACCGGGGGCTCAAACCCCGCAATATTTTGTACACAGAGAACGCCAAACGGACGGGTCGTTTCCTAAAGCTGTCGGACTTTGGTTTGGGTAATGTGTTCACCGCAGAGCATATGGATCCCAAATGGACGGGTAGTAACAAATCGGACGCACTATATATGGCACCGGAGGTGATAGGCTCTGACGATCCCAATCGGTTCACCACTAAATCCGATGTGTTTAGCGTCGGTGTTATCGGTCAACACGTGTTTGATATCAATATCAAAGAGTATGTTATGTTTAATGTTTGTATTATTTAGCACCCGTTCCCCATATCCATAAGTCTATGGCTATAAATTACTTGAGTTTTATATTTGGTATTAATTTTTTTGCTCTAATTTTGTAGTAAAAAATCTGTGAAAGTGTACGAAAAGACTGAATTGAATGAGTGTTTCAAACAATTATGGGATGTCTTGACGGCAATGACAGCACCGGACGCCGTGAACAGACCCGAGTGCTCACAGGTGTTGCAAAACAGCATAAAGTGGTCCATAAGTACACCGATCGCTAAAAATGGTTACGATTTGAACGCAATTCTGGCGAAAACTGCAAAACAAAACGATTACCAATTCATACATAAATACATTTTGCATAAAATAAAATCATAAACTTATTTTTAAAAGTTACTTGCTACATTTTATTATTGGTACAAGACATAGTAACATTTTCGCGACCAAACACATTAACTTGTGGTGCTATGTGACCGCCGTAACTGTGCTTGCTACTACGGCTACTACGGCTACTATGGCTATAATAATAACGCAAAACTTATTATTATTATTATTAATCATTTTGTATTTCATAATTAGAAATAAAATTTTACACAAAACATTTGGTAAAGTAATTAATATGGATAATTAATTTCTACACAGTAGTAGACTTCATATAAAACTAATTTACTTATTATTCATGCAAATTGCCGTAGAAGTGAATCATATTTGTAATTTTTAATCAATTAATACAGTATTTAAATATATTGAATTTAATGGTAATCTCCAAGATAAATTTAGTTTAATTGCAAATTAATTTCACACAATTTGCCACAATTTTCATAGAGATTATCGACCGCTGATTGTGTGACCCCTCCGTATCCCACGAGACTAATGGCACGGATTTTGGGCATTTGGGACAATGAATTCAACGCCACATCTGTTACATTATG